TCTCTCTCTCTCAAAATACAAATCAAAACTTAAATTTAAAAAAACAAAAAAAAAAGGAATTGGCAGGACGGGGTTCGATCCTGGGCAATACAGTTCAAAAACCGACGTCCTAACCATTACACCATTAAGCCACATATACTTAGCAATTATGTCTACACTCGATATATGTGTTAAAGAGAGCTTTACATTTAACCAACTACACAGGGGCAAACTCAAAGTGAAGTGAAGTGAAACTCAAAAACTTGAAACTATGAAACTCTATTATTTTAAATATATAGATTTTCATAATAAATGTTTTATAATAAAAATATTTCTATTAATAAATAATTAATTAAAAAAAACAAAATTGTAAACATTTGATTAATTCATTTACTTAGCAACAAGAAATATATTTACTTTACAGATAATTGCTATCACAATAATAATAAAATAATAACAAAGCAATTATTTAGCCATTTTTTTTATTTAGATTGTGTATTATAATAATTATTTTATTATCCTGTTCAAGTACAAGACTAATTTAACAAGTTTATGTAATTATGACATTAATTATAACGACAATAGTATGTTTAATTATGGTAATTGTGATAGACACTGGGCAAGGTGATAAAAAATGTGACAATGATTATTTTTGTATGAATGCTATTTACAACAATATTACATCGCAAATGGATAAATTTGACATGGTGACAAAAATATGCAAATTCTGGGTGAAACATAAATGTCAATATAGATGCATTAAAGTAATTTATATTTTTTTAATAATAATAATTGTATAACTTTTTAGTTTTAGATTAAATTTGGATTTTTATGTAACTATTTTTAAAAATTATATTATTTATTATTTAAATAACTGCATGTATTTATAATTATAATTAATAGATAATAATTTGAATTTTTATAATTTGAACATGCTAATTTACAACAGCCTCACTGTATCCAATTACATAACAGTCGGGCCACTACTGGGAGTACGAGTAATACAATGACGGCCACTGACTTAGCATGCTCACTTTACGAACACGATGTTTCTTACTGTAATCGTGATGAAATTTCATTGGAGACCCAATCATATAAATCAGCCAATAGTAATACAAATGGGTCAATAAATGATCATACTACATTAGTGGCCATCATTATATTCACGATGGTCATAGTGATCATGATCGGTTTATTTATGCTATACAGACGGCGATCGGTTAAAGTGTTGGCAAAACGTTGGGCACCCGATCCCGATATAGTCCCGGTCCCGCTCACAACCGATACTGATATTGCTTTGCAAACCTATAGTGACAATAACCAGGATATTATTGAGTCAGATATCAAGCCACACCATACAACTATAGCAGATATACCATGTTTACCAAATAACCAAAAAAGCATAAATAGTAAAAAACATTTTATTGATCCGACACGATGTGGCGATTATAATCAGGGTTGGGGTGAACCTGGCGCAAATTTTACAAATGTAGTAAAAATTAGTCAAGGTTCCTATGGTTATGTGTACAGGGCATTTAATAATGTAGGTGCTACATTTTACGCTATTAAAATTATTCAGGTTGAAGGTAATTATTAAAATAATTACCATTTATGTTCTTAAGATAAATAACAGCTATTTATAAAAGCATTTATTACATTAATTTAAGAAAATTATATGACCGAGATCGAAACAATGCGCCAATTAACCAGCGAGTACGTGGTAAAATTAATCACGCACTGGGATCATAAGGGAAACGCATTTATCCAGATGCAATATTGCCCATACAACCTAGCGCAAATTAGTAAACAACTAGATGCCACTTTCAATAAGCCACCGACGGTTTTAGACATAATGCTTGTCAAACGGGTTCGGCGATACATCGGGTGCGAGATGTTCATAGAGCTACTTCGGGGGCTGCACTACCTGCACACCCGTCAGCCCCCGTACATACACCGGGACCTAAAAGCTAAGAATATTCTGTTTGACCCGAACGCTGGCAGTTCTGGTATATTCTGTAAACTGTGCGACTTTGGACTGGCAGTCAGGTGTTGGACAGATGAGACGGGCAGTACGGTTGTGGGCCCACCCGGTGTCGGCACACGTAGAAGTATGGCACCCGAGGCACACGATGGCCGCTATAAGCGCTGCGGCGATATTTACAGTTTGGGCTTGATTGGTTCAAAATTAATGGATATTGATTGGTTAGTAAAATTCAACTTTAAGTATTCTACGAAATTTAGTAGTACAATTGTGGTTGTTTTACTATCTATTGATTCAAATGAAAATTAAGTGGCCTAAGCGCCATATAGTGCAGCTAGAATAACTAAATACACATAACAAAAAGTATGATTATTTATGTTAACATTCTCAGGCACCAGAAACCATGTTTAATAAAATTTGCAACAATAGTTAAGACAAAGGAATATTTTAAAGGATATACAGTATGTCAAAATTGTTTTTATATTAATTGAATTGTTATTTTGATTTATCAGGAACAATCAATCTGATGATTACAGCGAACCAATGAGACAGATTATAATTAAAATGATACAATACCAACATGCTTATCGCCCGGACACAACCCAATTACTTAGCACCATGGAAAGTTGGCAGATTAAGTTTAAGCGTATTAATGAACTAAACAATCTTGTTGATAAATTAAAAAATCATAATAATGAATGTTTGTTTACATTTTTAAATGCAAAATTAATGTAAACTATTCTTTCGTAATTGTTTGAATTTAAATAATCAAACATTAAAATTGTAAGAATCAATTATTTGATTTTATATAGTTGAAGTTGACTTAAAATAGTATAGTTGGCATAGTTTATAATAATTTAGTATTATGAACATAAATATCATTTTAATAAATGATTGTGCTCATTATTGTTTGCTACCGTTGTGCATTTAATCCTTATATGATTTACACTATAAGTACATTTATTAATTAATAAAATTAAACAAATTTAATAACTTTGATTACCTGCTACTAGACAATAAAAAAATATAATATTAAATAAACAATATATTGATTATTTCTTTATTTAAAAATGCAAAAAATATTTTGACTAGTGCAGGTAATTAAAAGGATTAAGACCAACTTCGCAAATTATGTTTCTTTTGGAAAATTTACTACCGAGTAGTATAATTTCCTCACAAGTAGCCGACTTCAGTGAAATTAGGTTTAAATATTAAATTAGGGAATCAAAAGAAACTATGGTAAATATCGCGGGCTGGATGGTTGAGTTATGGCTATTTTGTTGATTGAGCGCATACGGCATATAGCAATGCAGTACTGGTGATTGGCTCAAACAACATTATTAATTGCTATACGCCGTATATATGTGTTGTCCAATATATTAATTATTACACAATTTATTATAATAAAATAAATATAAAATTCTATAATAAAATTAATACATAGAAAAGTAACAGGTTATATGTTTGAGGGAATTAGTGAAAACTCCAGGAAATAGATTTGGACATTTCTAAAAAAAATTATATTTTAAATATATATTAATTTTTAATTTGTATTTAATTATACACTAATTATTAAAATATTAATATTATGCTAAATAAAAAAATAAACCTATTAAAGTAAAAAATTAATAATTACAATAAAATATTATATTTACGCAAATATAATAACAAAAACATAATAAAAATTTTGTATTTTTAATTATGAATTTAATGATTATTGTTATGGATAGTAATGATTCATTACTAATAAATAAATATTATTCTAATAGACATAATTAAATGCAATTAATTTTTATCTATTTAGTTTGGAAATAATTTATAAAAGTTAAAGTTATAGATAACTGTTTACTGAATATGCAATGTGTAAGTGATAATTATATACAGTTATTCCAAATGTTTTATAAATAGTGAGCAAAACTATTTAATTGTATGCCCATTACTATTACAGAGTTTGATAAATTAAAATTAATTTTATTGGTAAATTAAAAGTTCAATAATTAAACATTATAACCTCAATTTTCATAACTTTTATACAGATGGATAACATAAAGATAATTATAAAAATAAACTTTAGATAATTATGGGTCAATTTATAAATATTAATACTAATAACATAATTAGTATTTAATTGTTTTAAAAATTCTCAATTAATTTAAGGGCAGCCGAACGATCCTATTAACTACGTTATTCATATCTGAATTGTGGTTAAAAATATTACTACCATTTAATTGGTTAATAATATCAATGGATTAAATCAATTAATAAATATGTATATTAAAATAGATTTATTTATTGTTCATATATTTTAGAAAAATATAATTCAGCCGGACGTTTGGCATAAATTTAAATTAACCATTTTATTATAATCGGGTCACACTGTACACTAAACTGCATATAGTATGCAGTACATTTATGCATTAATATACATTTATGTGTATACTATATGAAGATATAGTATACACATAAATGTATATGCCATTTACCTATAACAGTCGCATCTAGACTGATTTGATGTCCAGAAATAGCCTGGATTGTCTCGAAATTTGATGACCTGTCCAGGATTTAAAAAATATTTTAAACATTAAGTCAATGGAGATGTCCAGGATAATATGGCTAAAATTAGTATAATGTCCAGGATTCCAGGATAATAAAGCTGAATTTGTTGAAAATCCAGGATTGTCATGAACTCATCTGGTCAGTCTAGCTGCATCCTTATATATTTAATTAAAGATAATGCTTATATAATCACAATATAAGAATTTATATCACAAGTTGAGGTAGAGCGTTTTGTACAAAATCACGTAAACCCAATTCAAAACCACTATTTTTAAAATTATCATTACAAATTTATAATTATTAACAATATTTTATATTCCTACGTAACTATTATATAAATCATCATTATTTCTATGGATAATAAAATATCAATTGTATTATTGAGTACATGTTTTACATTTATAACATTATTTAATGCCCAAGATGGGCTGGCATACAAGTGTGATAATGCAGACTATTGTATGCGTTTCATTAATAATATACTGGACCCGGATATGGCCAAAATGAACATGGTTACTAAAATATGTCATTTCTGGTCAGAACATAAATGCCGATTTAACTGTATTAAGGTAAGTATTTGTATTTGTATTCAGTTTTTATTCATATAATTTTATTCTTCAAGTAATAATGATATTTAAATCGTATACCTTTAATCCACATACGCTGAATTATTGAATTTATTGATTAAAAGTTAATACACGCTTTACATTTAGCATAGGTTAAGTTTAATTCAAATGTGTTATAAATCCATAGGATAAGCATTGCCTTACACTTAACATTACCATTGTACAACTTATATCATAGACATAACTGTAATTCAATGTTAAATCCCATAGGGTGAGGGGTCGGGGGATGGGGCCAAACCATTTTATAAACTATATTTCATATATGAATTGTTGTTATACTATTGTATTTATAGTAATTGGGTAGTACTTGTATTTATATTTAAACTTTATTAAAATTAATCTCGTTTATAAATGTTTTAATAAAAGCATTAATATAGTGATTTAGCATTACCTGATTAATAACATTTACATTACATTATAATGATTTTTTGGCAATTGTATTAATTTTGGCAGTAATATTAGCAATTGAGGTAGCTTAAATAAAATTTTACTATTATATAAATAAATATCCATAATATGCATCATATGTATAAAATAAAAATATTTTATATTTTAATTAATAGAAACGCTGTCATCGCAATTATAACAAAGTAACCAAGGGCGGTGCCAGTAAAATATTAAACGCCACCAATTTAGCATGCACACTATACGAGCATGACATACGACCATGTAACCGGAGAATGATCACAGCGGCCTTTACACCACCTAATCTTATTAAGAATGATAATAACAGTAACAATTATACCCACATTTTTTATATAATGCAATGTACATTGCTGTTAATTGTGGTAATAATAATAGTAGCGGTTTTAATTGTGAAGCTTGTTAAATGCTACCGACATCAAAGAGATTATAGCAGGTATAGCTCAATTGACAGACCACTTTGGCCTAGGCAGAGACATGGTAGTGTGGACACATTTGATGCACACCAGGCCATACGGTTAAATGTATTTAACGCAAATGATACCCAAGTAAACAATGTACCCGCTAATGGTGATTCACGTAGTAGACCCATACAAATGACCATGTGCAATTTGACGCCAAGCGCACCGCAAATTGATTATCGCATTGTAGATCAGATTAATCTAATTAATGCTTGCAAACATGAAAGTGACATAGTACCAATTGTTGGCTTACAAAACGAGATTGGGCAAAACAATAACAATGAATTGGAAGCGAATGCACAGATGGAGCACAGATTAATGATGGTGACAACAATAATACAATACAACAAACTGATCCAACTGATAGCTCTGCTACTCATGGTTGGGGTGACCATGGTGCTCACTTTACCGATGTCATCGAGCATGGTCGCGGTTCGTACGGAAAAGTGTACAGGGCATTTGATACGACAATTAACACATTGTGTGCTATTAAAATCATTCGTATTACAGGTAACAAATAATATTATTAACAACCATGGTTAAAAATTATAACATTAAACAATTCAATACAGAAAATTACATGAATGAAATTAACATGCTGCGAGAATTGGCGAGTGAACATGTGGTGGAACTGATTGGTGACAGACCGCACTGGGAACACAACGGGTACGCGTTTATCCAAATGCAATTCTGTCAGTACAATCTGGCTCAAATTATTACCATGATGAATGAGACATTCGGTAGCCTTCTGGTGGGCGCAAACATACAACTGGCCAAACGTGTGCGCCGGTTCATTGGGTGCGAGCTATTTATCGAGGTACTTCGCGCTATACATCACATACATAGTGGACAGCATTGGTGTATACACCGGGATATTAAGCCAAAAAATATTCTGTTTGACACGAATTCAATGGATGGCGTGTACTGTAAACTCTGCGATTTGGGCCTAACCGTCAGGTGCCCGGACACCGATGATGGCACCGGTAGTACTGTTAATGACGAGCCCGGTATTGGGTCGCCTGATTACAGAGGGCCGGAAGTGCATGATAGTCGCTATAAGCGCGCCAGTGATATATACAGCCTGGGCATTATGGCACCGGCATTATTAGATATTGATTGGTGAGGTTTAATTTTATGTATGAATATTAATTCCTAAATATGGTGTTTTGTTACCCATAGCAGGAATGTTCAAACAGACATGTTTTGCGAGCCCCTGAGACAGATCATGATCAAGATGATTGAATATCCCGACGCTAATCGCCCGACAGCCGCAGAGTTGTTACATAGCGTAGATAATTGGCGTATTAAACTCGAACGCCATGGTGATTTAGATGAGCTCGTGAATACGTTAATGAACCAGAATAATG